TTTTGACCTAGAAACCCTAATGGAATGTGTAATTATACTAAGAAGAGAATATAATTCAGTGATAAAAATTTATCTCTAATATGATTATTTGTTACAATAAAACTTCTTTATACTTTCTTTAATTTTTGTTGCAAGTGAGACCTTGTGATTATCCAGACATTAAACATGGAGGACTATATTATGAGAGTGTGCGTAGACCATACTTTCCAGTACCTGTAGGAAAATATTTCTCCTATTACTGTGATGAACATTTTGAGACTCCTTCAGGAAGTTCCTGGGATTACATTCATTGCACACAAGATGGGTGGTCACCAGCAGTACCATGCCTCAGTAAGTAAACCTCTGGACAGCCATACATGCATAAAACTTTCAAAGATTAAAGAAAGGAGAGCACATAAGTGATTACTCTTGTCTTATGTAACAGAAATAGGGCCAAGAAAAGAGTTGTTCAAGCAAAATGATGAGGATAGATCTTTTTTATTATGAGGAGTTCTTGAAAATCATGAGAAATAAATATAGAGACTTTATGAGAGTATCCATATCGTTTATACATATTTTAATTATTAAACTAAAGATAAGTAATCTTCAATGTTGATATTTCTTTTTGTGAAAATCTTTGTTAGTAATTTTAGTTCATACTTATTTATATATTATTTTTTGATGTTTCTGCACTCTTATATGGTAACAATAATTTTAATATACTATTTTGAGTAAATTTATGCTTCTCATTTACTTTATTTATTTATCCTTGTTATGGTCCTTAGGAAAATGTTATTTTCCTTATTTGGCAAATGGATATAACGAAAATAATGGAAGAAAGTTTGTACAGGGTAACTCTATAGAAGTTGCCTGCCATCCTGGCTATGGTCTTCCAAATGAGCAGACCACAGTTAACTGTACGGAGAATGGCTGGTCTCCTCCTCCCAGATGCATTCGTGTCAGTAAGTACACTGCTCTGAGATCCCAGCATGTTCATGTCTTTCTAAGTAACATGGATGACATTCTCAGACTCATCTATATTAACTGTTGTAAAATGTTTTTGTTAACTTGTCTTGCCAATGGACCTGTTTAGTTTTACTTTTTTAATTGTGTGAATATACAAATTTCTTGATAAGAACATAGCAAAATAAATGCTCCTATTAATGGACATTAGTCAAGAATACAGTAAGGAGAGCACAATACTTGTTGGCTAAATAAAGTCATATCGAAGTGGCATCAGTGTCTGGGGTCAATACTTGAGGTTGGTCACCTCACACCAAGAACATTAAGTACAAATGAGTATTCTGGGATATTGTGCATATTCGACTCTAGAAGGTTTCCTACAGTATTTATTCCAATATACATTTATATCAACAGTTCCTTCTTTTTTTACATGTTACTAATGAGTGGTGATGTCACATTTTAATATTTACAAGTTGAATGGCTATAAAATGTTACAGCATTGTAGTGTAAATTTTCATTTCTTTTACTACCAACTGAATTTACAATATATGTTCACAATTTAATTGTTATTTAATGATTTTAATCTTTGGAAATGCGGTTTGATATTTTTTTGATTTACCTTTTTGGGATTTTGGTATTTATTAGTTGGAATCATCTTAATATTTCTGAATATAAAATCTCTTTTAATTATATGTAATGCAAATGCGTTCTCTTTGTGGCTAGTGTTGTTCTTTCCTTTTTCTTGCATTATGAACATAAGTTGCTCATTTTACTAAATAATTGTCAATCTTTTTTCATGATGAATTTTTTTGGTTCTTTTTAAAGGAATAGTTTTTCAAAAGCACAGAGACATTATACTATTCTTTATTCTGAAAAGTTACATGTTATCTTTTCATATTTGAAAAATACTTTTTGTTTATTTTATTCTTGATAACACCTATATTTCATTTTTAAATAAAATATGGTAAACTCAACATTTCTCTAACAATTTTTATGGTACCTTTCTCATACAGTATGTGTTATGTTGTATATTTTGTACATTGTGTGTGTATACACACATGGGCATACACACACACAATGACTCTTATTCTGAATAGTCTATTCTGCAGTATTAGTAAGCAATTTTTTAACCAGCATTCCAGTAACCCTCTATTGAATTTATTTTATTTTATTTTATTTTATTTTATTTTATTTTATTTTGAGGCATAATCTCACTCTGTCACCCATGCTTGAGTGCATTGGTGCGATCATGGCTCACTGTAACCTCCAACTCCCAAATTTTAACTAATATCGGCTTACAATAAGTATGCATATGACTTTTCACCCTAATCATGACCTTTTTGTCAATCGACCCAAATCTTTTTCTTCATCGAAGTCTCTGTTTTGTATCTCCCGTCTCAGTTGCCCAGATGATCCCCCATTTTACTTTACCATTTTTATTTAATTAAATTGATCTTGTAATATCTTTGTAAGGCTAACACAGAGGCTATGAAATATCAATGTGCAATAGTCTTGCTGCTGATTTATCAACCCATACTGATCCAATGCCAGTGTGAACATTTGACCTCTCTTTTGCTTGGAGTATATTGGCTGATGTAGAGTGAGTATAGTACAACTACGTTTACTTGTGTTTCTCTTGTCATTATTTTCTTTCCTCTGTTTCATCATTTCTCCTTCCATTCTCGTATTACCTTGTATACATTACCTCTTTTCTTTTTATAATGACTCATTTCTGTTCCTATGTTTCTCCATGCCGCTTCATTTACAGCTCTACTGCACTGCAGCGCATTGCTTACATTTTAGTTTATATTTCCTTCATGCCTATATCATGGTTCCTCTATTTCTTATGCATCTGTTGTTTCTATCTTTATCAGATTATTCATCATTTCTATTCACGTCTTCCATTCAGTCTTTTAATCATTCGTTCATTCTTCATTATTCTGTCTTCTTTCTTATACGTATTTTCTATTCTTTTCTACTTTCTCTACATCTTTAATCGCTCTCTTCCCGTTTCATTCACTTTATTTCTTTGATATTCTTTCTATGCATAGTTTCGTCATGGGCTTGATATGTTATTAGACTATGGAATATAATGTACTATTTACCCTTCAAGTTAGGACCCTGTAACTTTAGATCCAGGTTTATTTAGCTAACTTTATGGTGGTTCCAAATCATTAACAGTCTTAACCTTCATCCTTCAGATTGGGATATCAACCATTGCATGATCAAATGTACAGGTCAATTATCAGTGAATCACCACCACTTTTCCAATTAATAAACATCCTAAATTCCTCAATCATGTTGTGAAATAAGCAGAAAAATTAAATATAGCTGAGGCGAATACAGCAAGAATACATATTGGGAGTGCTGTCTGCATAGTGCAAAACTGCATACAAAACGATACACGTTATAGGCCATATAATGACTATCCTGAGATAATT